CCGCCACGCCGTGTCCGCCCCCAAACCCCCTCCCCCGCCGCCCGCACCCCAGGGCTGCCTGACGCACTCTGACCTGTACACCTTCTTCCGCGAGATCCACGTCATGTGGGTGGCCATGGGGGAGTACGCTGACCTGGCGGTCCACGACGTGCTGGACGAGATAGTGGACATGGCCGCGCCGGCGCGGCAGGGGGCGATCACGCTCAAGGTCGGCTGGGGCGAGGGTGGCGAGGGGAGGGGAGGGGGACGAGGGACGCCCGGCAGGGGAAGGGGCCATGAGGCTGTTGATGCGAGGAGCAGCAGCAGGCGTTTGTCGTCCCGCACGCCGGCAGCGCGCTGAAGGTGGTGATCGGCGCTGGTAAAACGGGCGGCCGCAGAGGCTGAGGTTGTGGCCCCGCCCTGGAGGGGGGCCTGCGGCCGTGCCTTTGGCGATGGACGCATGGCGCAGAGCCATCGCCCGCTTTGCGGCCCCTCTCTGCTATCATCAGCCCTTCTGCTGCTGCTTTGACAAGCATCACTGCTTTGACTTTGATGCTAGCGTGACACCGGACCTCGAGCATCACCCATCCCTGCCGTCCTGCGCATCTCTCAGGACCTGCGGGAGTGCAAGATGGCCGGCACTGTGTTCAGCATCCTGGCCAACGTGGACCAGTTCTACCAGTACAACTACAGGCAAGGGCGGGGGCTGGTGGGGCTGGACTGGCAGGAAGGCTATCTTGGGGTCGACCGGCCTGAGGGGGGGGGGTCGCGCAGCGGACTAGGACCGCGGGGAGTGGCCCGGCACAGGGTGTGGTGCCCTTGAGGCACAGGCAGGGGTGATGAGAATTAGTGGTGGAGTGGAGCGGTGGGAAGAGATTTGGGCTGCCGCTGACTGTGCTGTGACCCCCTCGTGGGTTCTTGCACCCCGCCCTCGCAGGGAGAACTTCATGCACACGGGCGAGGGCGACGGTGGCGGCGAGCAGGGGCAGCAGCAGGCGGGGGGCGGCTGAGGCTCAGTGTTGATGTAACACAAGGCTGTGTCAAAAATCAACACCCATAAAGTAGCGTATGCGTGTACAGGGGTCTGAATTTCTGTTCAGCGTGGAAGGGTTGACCAGGGCAAGCACCGTTGGCTCTGCTGCAAAGACATCCACTGGGATCACGGTCTCGTCAGCCTAGTCGTTCAATCAGTCCCTAATTGAATCTATTAATTGCTCACGTGGTTGTGTTGCAAACAGTATGCAGCCGACACCGCTCGCACAGTGTAGATCGATGTTTCGCGAATTCTAGCCCTTTGGGTGATGTTGAAAAGCAAGTTGATTGAAAGAGCGCTTTGACGCGTGTCAGCACCGTCGTGGCATAGCTGCCGGGGCCCAGAACGTCTCTGATGCAGCAGGACGCGACAGCGCCGCTGCCTCCGGGCTGGTTGAGCGCGTGGGACACGACCCACCAGGCACACTACTACTACAACGCTGCCGCCGGCATCACGCAGTGGGAGCCTCCTGCACCGCCGCGGCCGCTCGTCCAGGCCGCAACGCCGGCCGCGCCTCCCGCAGCGATAGCGCCGGCGGCAGCGGGGGCGCCCGTCGCGCCGGGCGGCGCAGCGGCGGCGCGCTACTGCTACTTGGACCCCTCTGGCGTCAGGCGCGGCCCCTTCACGGCCGCGGAGCTGCGCGGGTGGCGGCAGCACCTCCCCATGGACCTGCGGCTGTTGCCAGTGGTGGACGATCACAAGGGGGGCGCTGCGACGTGCAGCGGCGCCGATGCGGGACACGGCAGCTGCACCGACGAGCAGCGGGCAGAGGGCCAGCTGGAAGGGCCGGGCCCTGAAGGGGAGCGGCGCGGGCCAAGTGGCGACGGCCAGGCGCCCGAAGGGGTGACAGGGGTGACAAGGGGTGAGGAATCGCCGAGCTGTGCGGCGCCCGCGCCTGCCACTGCGGTGGTCGAGGCGGAAGCCCCAGAACGCCAAAGCGACAGCCTGCGGCCTGAGCCGCCTCAGCAGGGCCGTGAAGTGCAGCACGAATCTTGGGAGCAGCAGCAGCAGCAGCAGCAGCAGCAGCAGCAGGAGCAGCAGCAGCAGGAGCAGCAGCAGCAGCAGCAACAGCAGGAGCAGCAGCAAGTCGAGGACACCCAGCGGCAGCAACAGCAGCACGTGGCGCAAGGTGACCCCATCGCCGGCGGCGGCCAACTCCAGGGCGTGGAGCTGGCCGTGGTGCTGGGGGACGGCCCCCTCCTCGCAGCCTGGCGGGCTGCCGCCGCCCACTGGCCCCCGGCGCTGCGGAGCGTGGCGCCCGGCTGCGGCAGCGGCGGCGGCGGGGGCGGGGGCGGGGGCGCGCCCCGAGCGCCGCCTGCACCTATCTGGGAGGCGTGGCAGCAGCAGCACCGCCACCAGCCGCACGATCCCTGGCGTTGGCAGCAGCAGCAGCAGCGGCAGCAGCAGCAGCATGCGCCAGCAGGCAGTGGGGCTGGTGAGAACATGCCCAGCAGGGGAAGCCCTGTCAGCGGCGGCGGCGGGGTTGGCGGCGCCGGCGGCTCTTTCGCAGAGTACGCAGAGGCCGTGCTCGCCGGCCTGCCTCCTACCGATGATGCCGTCGTGCTGGCAAAGACAGCCCTGTATTACGGCAGACCCCTAGAGGAGGTCATGACCGCCGCCGCCGCCGCGGGCCCCGGCTCTTCCGCCGCCGCGCCGCCCTCCAGCCGCGGCGGCGGCGGCTGCGCGGGGTGGGACGTCGAGTTCGTGCGGGACCCGCGGAGCGGCCGGCTGACGGCGGTGTACAGCGGCGCCGGCGCGGCGGCGCCCGCGGCGGCGGCGCGGCTCTATGGGGACCTGGAAAGGTGGGCCGACCCGGCGAGCATAGAGGCGTCCCTCGCGGCGCGCAAGCGCGGCGCGGC